TGCACTCCAGTCTGGGTGACAGAGTGAGACTCCAACTCAAAAAAAAAAAAAAGAAGAGCTGGTCCAGTGGATGTGCTCTGTGAGTATGGAAACAAGAAATAGTTTGAGATAGAGTGTGGTGGGAACAAAGGAAGGGTGGGAAATGGCATTGCAGAGGTGAGTTGAGACAAGCCTGAGGAAAACCTTAATGCCGGAGTAAGGAGGGCCCACTCGGCGGTGTGAAGCAGATGTCTGCTTTGAAAGGATTTGAGACTCTTGTTCCTGGTCTGTGGATACTTTTCTACCTCCAGTTTAGCCTCTCTCCCCCTTTCCTCACAGGCCTGGGCACCTGTGAACGTGTGTGTCCGCCTAGAAGGCTGAGGAGGCCCTGCGGTGAGGCTGACTAACTGCCAGCTATGGTTCTTTGCATCTGCACAAGAACGTTCTCGGCGCTCCTCTGGCGTTCCTCTCATTGACTGGGTATTAGTGGGGTCTGTACACCCTAGCATTCTGCTTGGTCAGGCTCAGTCAGATGGTCCATTCAGTGGAGCCGGGCCATGGAACCACAACAAACCCTTCTCGGTCTCTCTTGTGGTCCCAATTCCTGGCCTACCCCAAACCAAGCTCTGCCCTTGATAGACTGCACCCCTCCCCTGCCACCCCGACTCATAGTCCAGGGCGTTTTCAATCCCTTCCCCCGAATCTTCTTTCCTCTCCCTTCCACACCCGCCCCCCTCCCGCTTTCTCCCTGGCTGGCTTTTTAGTCCACTTTGCTCTGGATGTCTTAAATACAGCGGCATTCTTAGCTCTTCTAAAGCTGAGAAAAGGACCTTCCCCTTCACATATATTTTTGTTCTTAATCCCAGTTAATCATCCAAAAGAGGCTTCCTGACAGAGAGAACAGAAGATGTATATTGGAGCCCAACACCCTTGAACCCTGGCTTTTGTGACCTTTAGGAAATCACTTTGCTCTCTGAGAGCCAATATCCTCATCTGTAAAATGGGGACATCAGCCCTCACAGCGCAGGGATTAAACAAGATAACACACAGAATGCCAGTGAAGGAAGGGTTGAGTTCCACTGAGAGACCCAAGCAGGAAGGGACACATTCCTCTGTGTTCTCTTAGAACAGGTAACTTCAGCTTCTGGCTAAAAAAACATAAACAAAACAAAACAGAGCATGTTCAATCAGGGCTCTGCGCTATGGCAGGTGACTCGGTAGTGAAGTGGAAAGGAGCCCACCCTCCCACAGGCCCCAAGGCCCCTGGCAGGGGGAGGAAGATGTGGCCTTCCTGTTCCTTAGGGAAATGAAAGGCTTGAGCCAAGGCCCGGCGGACAGGTGGCTTCTAGGCTGACCTTCTCCAGGCCGGTAAACCCCACAGTTTCATTGTTCCACCCGGGCTGCGGAGCTGGTTGGTGGAGTCGGCTTAGAGAAGGATATTTTGTATCTGGCTTTGGAATGACTAATGAATGAGCTGTCTCCACTGCAGGAGAATTATGCCACTTAAGCAAAACCCAGCCGGGCTGGTCCGCTCTGAGATAGCTAATAGGAAATGCCTGTCAGAGCACTGACGCTTCAAAGCCAAATATATTCTCACTGTGTTCTCTGTTTGCTAAGTTTACTTTATGCAAAATATAACTCAGCTGAAAATATGTAGATGGCAGAGAGCTCAGCTCGCTCCTTCCCTCTGGAAGAAATTTCGAAGATGGGGAGGAGAGCAGTTTCTAGTTAACCCTACTGGTCCTGACAGGCTGAGGCACAGCCAAGCCCAGAGCTTGACTCGCCAGAAAGACTGTGCTGCTGCTGCTGAGTCCACAGCGACGACAGTCCTCAAAATAGAGACAACTGCCCTCCCGCCAAGTTTCCAGACGGTGGGAAGAGAGGCAGTGTGGGCATGGGTGAGGACAGGCAGCCCGCCCACCATTTTGCCCACTATTGCAGGGGCTGGCAAGGCCATGTGGACACCACTGAACTTCTGCCCCCTTTAGTGGCCTTACTCACCATCCCCCAGGTGAGGCATGGAGTGCTCCAACCAAGAAGCAACCAAGAAAAGTCAGTGACCCCTGCCAACCCTGGACTCAGTATAACTGGGTGGATACTGAAACAATGAGCTCTAGAATGGGGAGTCAGGTTCTGTCCGCTTCTGCCTCTTCTTGGGTGACCTTCCAGGAAAAGTCTTCAGGCCTTGGTTTCACCATCTACAAATGGAGAGCTCGGACCAGCTCAGCAATTCCTAGGGTCTGAGACCCTAACACTCCATATTCTACCTGACAGGATGGAGACAGGAGTGTGGTGACAGACCCCCATCTCTCAATTCCCTGACCAGCTCCCTCTCCACCTCCCTCTCCCAAGGAAGCCATGGGAGCTGACTATAGGGATAGGATCCTCTTTTTAGAGATAGTTGAGATTTATCAATACTCAAAGGTGAAAAGATCCCTGAGGCCACCACCAGGGCCATGTGTGTGTGGAGCTTCTTTGCTGAGGAAGAGCAAAGAGATTGGAACTTCTACAACCTTTGACCGGGAAACAGCTTGTTCCCATAAGGCCACAGTCACCCAGGATCCTGGGGCAGCACACCTCTCTTCTCAAGCACCCTCCCTACTTAAGGATCTGGCCTTCTTGAGGAAGGCATTTGGGTCTAGTCCTTGGGGAGAGAAGCCAGAGCCAGGTCTGAGGAGCTCTGGGCGTCTCAGAAGGATCTGGAGAACAGGCAGTCGTGGAGCACCAAGTGTGTCAGAGTAAGGTGAGACGTGAATCAGACAGCTTTACCCTCGAAGAGTTTCCTGTTTTGTTGCAAGATAAGCAGGTGTAGAGTAAATCACACCACACAGACACTGCACTTTTTGAGTAAGCTAGACTTTCAGATCATAGCTGGATCATAGCTAGAAGTGGGGTGCTGGGAAGGGAGCAGAGGTAAAGTCCTTGGGCAAGTTGCTGACCATCTCTGAGCCTTGGTCCTCATCTATACAATGGGGATAATGACGACTTACCTCAGATACAGAAACAACATATATAGAACGCCTAACACACCACCCAGCATACTTTAATCACCCAATAAAAAGAAGCTATTACTATGTTGATTGCCATGGCTTAGAGGAAAGTGTCTCAACAGAAGGGGCTCCAGGTGGGCAGAGGCCTGACTCATCCTGTTAGCTTTTGGGACCAGGCCCAGGTGTCTGGATCCCCTTGCTGGCCCTTCTCAGGCTGCCAGCTGTCCCTCCGGTGTGTCACACAAACACCATCATTTCCTTTATGTGCAAAGGACATTGGGGAGCCCTGACTTAGAGACCTCAGAGTAGGCTTCAGAGCATATGAGGCCTTTGGTGAGGTGGGGAGTGGGGAGGAGGGTCTGCTGTGACTTCAGAAATCAAGGAAAACAGCAAAAGCCAGACATAGAGCTTGGGCAATGGGGGGTCTGGGGAGCAGGGGGCAGCTGGGTGGTCTTGGTGCCCTACACAGTGTCTTGCACAGTGCATATCATTAGGTGAGTGGCTGAGTCTGCTCCGAGTTGAGAGATGTTGGAGAAAAAGGCTGCATAATGTCCCATCAGGTGGGGCAAGACAGGGCAAGGGGCATGAGGCTGGGCCTGGGGCTTGTAGGGACAGGCTGAAGCTTAGGAATATGTGCTGCTCAGGGTCAGAGGTTGCAGGCAGACTCAGGCAGACATCAAATGGCAGAATGCTGGCATGCAGCAGGTCAGCAGGCAGCAGGGCCACAAGGAGCATGAGCTCTCATACCAAGGGGGTATGGAGCAACACATGGTCACACACAGTGTGGACTGGTTTCAGAAGGTGGGTCCCAGGTCCCCGGGAAAGAGGCTGCCACTGGTGGGTAAAAGTGGGGATGTTACATGAAGCTGGGAAGCTGGGCAGAGGTGCTGAAACCTGCTTGGGCCACCTTAGAAAGCTACATGGGCCAGGCTCGGTGGTTTAGCCTATAATCCCGCACTTTGGGAGACTGAGGTGAGTGAGTTGCCTGAGCCCGTGGGTTCGAGACCAGCCTGGGCAACTTGGCGAGACCTCATCTCTACAATAAATCAAAAATTAGCCAGGCATGGTAGCGTGCACCTGTAGTTCCAGCTACTTGGAAGGCTGAGGCGGAAGGATCGCCGGAGCCCAGAAGGTCGAGGCTGCGGTGGCCAGGAGTGTGCCACTGCACTCCAGTCTGGGTGACAGAGTGAGACTCCAACTCCAAAAAAAAAAAAAGAAGGCTACATGGGATGAGAGCAGGTGCCATAAACCATCAGCTTGGGGGGACAATGTGGTGAGAATACCATGGAGACCTCTCTGTGTACACGGAGACCTCTGTGCACACAGGGACCTCCATGCAGGCCAGGGTTGAGGAGCAGAGGAAATTGTCCAGAGAAATTGGCTTGGCTGCCAGTGTGGCCAGCAGTGCCTAGCGCAGCAACAGAGGGGCAGAGGTCCATGCTTAGCCCAGGCAGAGCTAGAAGGCTGGTCCCTTGGGCAGGTGGGGGAAAGCCATGGGAGTCCAGCAAGAAGGCAGCGGCAACCTGGTTGTGGATGGCTGGATCATAGCTAGAAGTGGGGTGCTGGGAGGGGAGCAGAAGACTGTCAGAGACCAGCCCTGGTCAGATGGAACAGTACAGAATATGGGCTTGAATTCAGACAAGCCTGATTTGAATCCTGTCTCCTCAGTGGTCACACAAGACTGGCGGTGATACTTAACGTCTCTCAGCGTCCTTATCTGTAAAGAGGAGATAATCATAGCACCTACTTCCCAGGGATGAAGTTTACATAAGGCCATTTGTGAAGCTTCCGGCATATACAGATGCTCACAGAACTGTACCTATTCTATCCAAGATCGTCAGCACCCCAAGATGTTCTGGTCCCCAGAAAACAAGGAGGGCTGCAAATGTTGGATGGGTGGAATGCAGCAGAAGCCTCGCCTGCATGAGGAAGGGAAAGTCACAAAGGCTGTGACCACAGAAGAGCCCATGTTTGAATCCCTCCTCCACCACTGCCTGTGAGGCCTTCAAGCCTCAATTTTCTCCCCTGTAAAATGAAGATACTAATATCTTTATTGGGGTTGTCTTGGCAATTAAATGAGATATTGTATGTGAAGAGTCCAATCCATTAAGAGGTTTGTAAAAAGCTACTCTACAGACTAGGTTGATAAACGAGGGAGAGGAAGGGGAATGGCCATAGCTCATCCCTATACTCCAGATCTTAGACCTGTCACAGCAGAAATACTTTCTTCTTGCAGAAACAGAAACAAGCCAGGTGCAGTGGCTCATGCCTATAATCCTGCTGCTTTAAGAGGCAAAGGTGGGAGAGTTGCTTGAGCCCAGGTGTTCGAGACCAGCCTAAGCAACATAGTGAGATCTCGTCTCTACTAAAAAAAAAAAAAAAAAAATTAGCTGAGCTGGTAGTGTGCACCTGTAGTCCCAGCTACTTGGGAGGCTGAAGTGGGAGTATTGCCTGAACCCAGGAGGCTGAGGCTGCGGAGAGTCATAATGGTGCCACTGAACTCCAGCCTGGGTGACAGACTGAGACTCTGACTCAAAAATAAATAAATAAACCAGCAGAAGCAGCCAGAGCTGAAGAGGCTTCTAAGAAGTGTACCCTACAAATGCACTCACATATTCTGATGGAATTCCACCTGCCCAGGTAGGATTGGTACAGGTACTGGGCAGCCGCACCTGATGGCAGAGGGCAGCAGTGGCTCAAGCTGATGAAGTGGGGAGGAGGAGAGGAGAACAAGAATAAGGGGAGGGAGGAAGGACTGGTGGAGGAAAGAGAGAGTCTCATTGACTCAGTAAATAAACAAGCAATGACTTGTGCACTTCCTATGGGCTAAAGCTATAGACACAAGACTGCTGTGGTCTCTGCACCCCCAAAACTGAGCCTAGCTCAGGAGTAATGAAAGGGGAGCTGTGGAAGGATCACTAAGAGGCCACATGCTGTCTGGAATGGGGCAGGGAGGAGATGAGGTGGGGCCTGTGTGGGCAGGAGTGTGTGCCATGATGTGGTGAGAGGGATGGGGTGGGGGGCAGTGGAGGATGTGGGCTGTGTTCATTGGTGGAAAGTGCACTGTATGTGTGCCAGGCAGACCCGGCTGCATCCCCACTCCACCGCTCACCAGCTACTTGGCTCTGGACAAGTTAACTTTTGAGGTCTTCACTTCTGCCTCTGCGGGATGACACAATGAATAGCTGCGTCCCAGGGTTGCTGGTGACTGTTCAATATGGCTATCCATGGAATCCGGCCTCTTGGTCAATGTCCAGCACAAGGGGGCTGTGGTGACTAAGAACATCAGAACAGGGTGAATCTAGTAGATACTTGGAAGGAACAAAGGAGGACCTGGGAAATATTTTAGTTGCCAACTGGGCAACGTGATTGGGCATCTTTTGCAGGTCTGGGAGAGAAGTTTGAAGCTGGGGTTGAATGAGGCGTCTGGCTCCTGCTGAGGGGAGATTCCCAAGTCACTCCAAGCAAGGGTATGCAGTTCAGTTTAGGAAAAAAGTACTGGAGGACAGTGTCTGGGTTAAATGTTTCCACCTTTATTTTCTCCAGGATTCCTAGATAACAATGGGAGGTGTCCCCCGGGGTCCCCAGAGCCTTGAGCCAGGTCAAACTCAGAGAAAGATCCTGGACTAAAAGTTTAGTGTGGAAAGAAATGGCCGCTCAACAAACATCTTTCCTCCTGTAGACTGAACAAAACCTCAATAAACATGTTACCTTTTTTTTAAGCTGGCAGTCCCATTGTAAGCAACCCTCGCGAGCTCTTGTGCCAGAAATGAGTTGAGATTCTTGGAGAAGTCTCTGAGCCAAAATTCTCAGGGAGAGGTCCCAGAAGACTGCCCATCAGATGAGGGAATGTAGGCAAAACGTTCTGTGTGGAACGATGAGCCAGCGCATCATCCAAGCCTGCACCTAGCTATGTCTTAATGAGGCAAACTCCAAAGAAGCTTTTCCTTTAATCTGGCATTTGAAATGAAATGCTGCTGCTAAGACGCCCCCACCTCCCCCACCCCACCCTTATGAGTTGTCATGACAACCCAAGTTCTCAGACCATGAAAGAACTACCTCAGCAGTTTCCTCTCAAACAAAAGAAAATTATTCCAGGTTTCTGGGCAGAGAACTCCAAGGAATGGGACCTGTTACTGGATAGCAGGTTCTTCAGAGTTGCTAGTGATGAAATCTGAGCCTATAAGGACCAGGGCCTTCCGAAAAGCTGGAGGAAGGAAACTGAGGGTGACAGGGCCCCAGCTTGCAGGGCCCATGCTCTGCCGTCATTGCTAACTCCCTCCCCTCAGCTGGACTTCATTTGCCCCTGCAGTGAAACACATTATAAGAAAACACATCCCCTGTCCACATGGGGAGGGGCAAGGGTACAGGGGGGCACAGGCCCTGGCTTAGTAGATCTCAGGGTGGCAGCAAAAGGTGGCTTCTCCTGCTGTCCAGTCTAGTGTGCTCTTGAAACAGCCGAGGTGAGGCCAACTTATTGCACGACTATGAAGCCCCTCCAAGGCCCCCTTGAAAGCCTGAAGTCCTGCTAATGAGGGCAATTTAAGCCTTCTCTCGAACCCCAAAAGTAAAGACGAGGAGGCAACAGCTGGACTGCCAACCTGCTCCCTGGATTCTCCCGCCCATGACTGAGCTTCCAGTCAAAACCCCGAGCATTGCCCTTGACACCTGCCTCTCCTTCCTCCTGCACATCTAATACCTCATCAAATGTTGAGGCTGTTTCCTAAACATTTCTCAAATCCATCCACTTCTTTTTTCTCCATTTCTACTGTCTTGGTTCAGGCCCCATCATCTCTAGTCTGAAATGTTGCCTCCAGACCATCTCCATACTAGAGCTAGAGGGGTGGCTTTAAAACACAAATCTAGGGCAAATCCTGGGGTCCCCTTCCACTGTGGAAGCTTTTCTGTCCTCTCAGTAAATCCTGCTTTCAAAAAAAAAAAACCACACACACAATTCTAGGCTGGGCAAGGTGACTCAAGCCTGTAATTCCAGCACTTTGGGAGGCTAAGGCGAGAGGACTGCCTGAGCCCACAGGTTCGGGACCAGCCTGGGCAACATGGTGAGACCTTGTCTCTACAGTAAATAAAAAAATTAACTGGGCATGGTAGTGCATGCTTGTAGTTCCAGCTACTTGGAAGACTGAGGCGGAACGATTGCCCAAGCCCAGCAGGTTGACGCTGGGGTGGCCATAAGTGTGCCACTGCACTCCAGCCTAGATGATAGAGTGAGACTCCGACTCAAAATAATAAAAAAAATACAAATCCGATCATGTCACCTCCTGCCTAAAATCCTTCTGTGATTCTCATTGCCTTTGGGATAAATGTTCAAATTCCTTAGAAGGGCAATGCAAGGCCTTCTGTGATGAACACTGCCCATCCCTATTCACTCTAGTCTACTCCAGCCATAAAGAGAGACTTTCCTCAGAATCCATTCTTCCACACTTCCAGGTCTTCACACTTAGTTCTCCTCTTCTTGGGAATCCCTTCCAGAGGCCAGCGAGCTGAATATCTTCTCCTTCCCCTCCAGATCTACTCTCCACCCTGCTCTGTGCCCCAAAAGCTGCCCTGTAAAGATCACATCGAAAGCTCCAGTGCCCTCTGGCTTCTGATTGGGTTTGGCTAATGGGGACCACCAGCAAGAGATTGGAGGACAGGAGAGAACGGGGTCAGGGTAATTTGTTTCCTCCCTATAAAGTCACAACAGGCTGGCTGATCGACCCCTAGAGGGAAGGTCACTCCTATCAAGGTGATTGGACTACACGACTCTTCCCCTTTCCAGGGTACAGTAACTGCCCTTTCCC